AAAACTTTATAAATTGAATCCACAAAAATTTTCTTCCCCAATGTGCTCCATCTGTAAAAATGAAGTGGAAAGTTTAGAGCATCTATTCTATGATTGTAAATATTCTGTAGCCCTCTGGGATGAGTTAATGTTCTATTGGGGAGACTCACTTGATATGGAATCACCACCAAGCAAAATGTGTAGGATTATTTCAGATCCAAAAGAACCATTGTTAGTTAATCTCATATGTCTACTAACAAGAAAACATATATATTTTTGTAAGATGAGAGGAATCAAACCAAAATTTAAGGGTCTACAGTCCTATATCCAACGTGTTTATCAATGTGAGAATTTTATTGCTAAACATAATAAAAAAATGGAATTCCATTTGAAAAAGTGGTCTCCAATCTTAACATTTGTTTGTTAAATATCTTTAAACAGGAATGTAATTTTTACAAGAGAAATGTAACATAACTTTATGCAGGATACCCAATAAAATACCATTAAAATACAAAAAAAAACTGTAGAAAATATATACATTTCAGACAAGTATGTTTATTGTCTAGCCCTGTTAAACTATATTAGTTTAGTTTATTGTGTTTCATTTTATTTTTAGCTCTGCTGTAATCGTAGATAATAGAGTGGAGCTGCTCATATAGATGATTGCCCATCATCGTCCATCTGTCGATCAACATTACATTTTCATTGTCTTTTTGAAAACTATCATGTCAATTGTTTTGATAATTGGCTTGAAGGTTCTTTGGATGGATATATGTCAGATTTGTTCACTTCGTGACAATATCTTCAATTCTCTATTTTTAGCAAATAGTTTTGTCAATTTTGATAAAAAATGATATTTTTAACTTCTTCTTAACAACTACCAGCACAAAATTCAATTGCTTTGATATTTGGAATTTAGGTACCTTGGATACCTAAATAAAACTATTGAGCCATTCTATTATGTAATTTTTGATTATTTTCTCTTTGCAGCTTGGTGTTTTAATTCATGAGGTATTAGCTATAGAGGTGTGGAAAGCCAATGTGTTCACTGTCATAACGAGAATGAACTTTGAACCCAAGACTACATTTCCACTCTATATGACCCTCTACCATGAAGCAACTTTAGTCAGTTTCTTGGAAACCATTTTATTTTACCGGGTAAGTGCATCCCTGATCCCTGTTGAGGCCCTCTCATTTTTTTTGGCTGATTGCTAGTAAAACTGCATGTAATAGTAAATTTGACATTTCTTAGAAAACTGTTTTATTATTGTGCAATTTATTTTAAGTGTGTGTCTGTATGAACTATAGAGGGCAGTGAATGTTAGATGGTGATATAAAACTTGATGTACTTTGTCTGTTCCAGGAGACATGTGAAGCAGCTGAAGAAATTATCTTAGATTTAATAGATTACTGTTACAGAAGAATAACTCACCTTATTGCAAAGTAAGTGCCTACTCAGGGTTCTCCCCAGAAAAAATGCATAGCGCTGTAACTAATTTACATAATTTTTCATTTGAAAAATAATTTGCATATCATTTACATACCTTTCATTCATAATTAACAGAACTCATTTACAATTATGAATATTAATGAGCTCGGTTTTTTTTAATGGAGTCAACACATTATGTTTCACAGTTTAGAAGAGTTTGAATTTAAAAATAAATCATTGTCGAAATACAAATGCTGCAGACTAAAAGCAAAAACAAATCAATTATTGTTGCATTATTAATGTAAAACGTTAAATGAAACACATTTGAAACATTAAGCCAGAAATATGATCACGATTCATGATTTTATTTACTCCAAAAACATTCTCCTTCAAAAAAGTGACCACGTAATTAATTGTCGTATTGCTGTAATTTATTATTCGTACCATCAACTTCTAAAACGTTTACATTTACAGTAATGAGCGAACAAATAAAACTTCAAAACGATCACCAAAGTTATGACGTGACATAACTTACCGGTACTTCGCGATGTTATACACCGGTTATACAAATAATTCCACTTACTCGGTCATGATGCCATGTAAAAAAAGTGTCACTTAAAATGTTTTTTATATGAAATGAAAGTAAAATCTGACTTATTTTTATCGGAAGCGATTATTTTTGATCACTCTATCGCTTTGGTAAAAAACACAGACCTGCCATGATTGTGTTGCATTAGTTGACCAGCATGTGTCCTTTGACCTATCAAAATGCCGCATGATAATGCCGGTAGAATCCATAGTTTTTCGAATGATAGTGATTGTAAAAATTACATTGCGGAAGTAAAGTGATGTCGTAGCACGATGTGTTGGCATTGAGTTCAGTTGAAAACTGCATGATGGTTTTCGAAAGAGGTGATTAGCAATTTTCAAATGGTAAAATAAGTCTTGAAAGAAGAGTTTTTACATGATTTGTGATAACAGTTCAAATGTATTTTACCAAATCATGCAAACACATTGTTTTATTTTTTCTTGAGTAGCGTAACTCATCGTGATCTCCGCTTTGATCATGTTATATCGAGGTGGAATTGATTTTGAAAGAATTTTAGCTTTCAATCTAAAGACTGTGTCTATCGTAGAAAGTATTTACTTACAAACAAAGAGGTGCTAATTTCACAAAATTGACTATTGTTGATCTATTGTTTAAAAATTATAATCCCCGACTGGCAGGATGCACGTTGGTCGGTACGTAATTATAATAACAATCAGACAATAGTTAGAAGCGTTTCCGTGGTGGTCACTAATTTTGAGTGCTGGTCGGGGCCAACCAGCGTGACGTACAAACCTTTTGGACATCTGATATTGGCATGTCAAATATGAAATCAAGCGTCGAGGTCGGAACACATAGCGCCGAGGTCCCAAGTAACGCCGAGATTCACAAATATAGCGCCGAGGTGCTCAGCGCTAAAAAGCCTTGGGGAGAACCCTGCTACTATTGTAACATGGCAAGAACTGTGTTTAATCCTCCTTCATGCTTAATATATTTCCATTGTTTTATTCGGTTACATGTTATGCCTGGCTTGTGTGATTTATTTTCAACAAGAATTTTTAATTAAGGATCGTGTGAAGATTTGTTTTTTTTAATTATTTGGATTTTTAAGATAAAAGTACATGTATGCAATGAAGATCTCTATTTCAAATTAGTGTTTTAGATTGTTATTTTTGGGTGCTTTGTGTAAATTATGTTTTTCAGCCATTATGAATATGACAATAAGCTTGCTAATTTCTGTTCACACAATCAAACCTTTATAACTCCCTCACATTTTGTTATACCAAGTACCGGTACGGTAGGTCAGGAATAGTTTAATGTGCACAGAGTTATGAACCCTTATCTTATCTTATCGAGCAAATGATATCGCCATAATACCATAGATACTAACAGTTGTTTGTCCAAGTACATCTCACAAATTCATTATGTTGATTTTTTAATGACAACAATTCTATCATTTGTATTAGTACTAATTATCATTTATCTTTTATCAATAAAAATTAGTTTAATCTGAATCAAAGTTCAATAAAATGACTTGCAGCTTTCGTATTAAGAAGTGGCACATGTACATGATTCATTTTAGTCTATAGAGGGCAGTATATCAATAACCATTTGCAAATACTGTAGAATACTTTATTTTCGCTTGGAATTTATTTTCGCTATTTTTGCTGAAGGGATGATTTCGTGAAAATAAAATCCAGCGAATATACTTTTTTTCTATATTTTATATTAAACTCATCAAAAATCAGTGAAAATAAATTCCATACAAAACTCCCAAAAAGCCTTTTCAGCGAAAATTAATTCCAATGAAAATAAAGTATTCCACAGTAGTTTTGTTAGTTTATATGCTAAGTCAGTATTTTCAAACCGTATCAGCAATAGAAGATGTGTTTTTCTATAGTCATAATAACTAAATGTGGTGTATAATTAAATCAGTATTTGTATTTTTTCTGTAGACAAGAAGCTGGAGAGTTAGAAGACAATGTCAGAAAAGATCGAGTGTCTGATTCATCAACGAATAATTTGGAGGTCTGAGCTATTTATATGTTAAATAAAGACAATGCTATTATCTTGTTTCGACCTTGGTTTAAAAGATCTAACATGGACAAAATTGTTGTTGTTGTGCCAAACAATTTCTTCAAAGGTTGATACATATTTTGTGGACTGAGTTTGACTACCTGTACTGCTAATAGTGTAGTAACCTTAACACTAAAGTTAGAGCTGCATAAATCACATGATTTCAGATTGTGGCATTTTCTTGCACTTTCTTTGCATACTACATGCATTCCCTGATGATGTGATAAAAATGTATAATCAAATTTTTCACATTTTTTATTTAATTTGCTAAAAGTAAATGCCAATACTTTTTTTTATAAACCTCTAAGTACCACTTTGTATGTAAAAGCTGTATTGATTTCTAAATAGGAACTGAAGCACCAAGAAAACACAATCAATTTTGATGTCTGTATTAAATCAATATCAATATTAAGATACATTACAGACCATTTGTCAGGGTAAGTTTACATAGTGTAATTAGTAGCTTAATATGGTTACTGTGACAAAATGCACTATATGTATCAACACCACTTGTACAGCCCTGTCCCAAACATGGAATGTGGTTACTGTAACAAAATGCTCTATACCAGTATGTTCGATATATGCCATCATTATTATTAACCAGCAGTAAATATATTAAAATTTGTTTTTAGGATTCCATTAAGTGGTTTAACCAGGATGTTAAATACACATGATGTGCCAGGACTACTTGTACAACTGATGGAAAACCCACCATGGAGTAGAATGCAGGAAGGTATGTCCTGCAATTGAGAGAATTTTTTTTTTTTATTAGACTTTGTCTGAAATGAGGACTTGAATTTTGGTTTTCTTCTGTCAGTCTTTGCGTATGTGTGTACATTCATCATCATTTCTCAGACATTCTCGAATGTATTTTTGTTTTAAGACGAGTCATAATGTTATACATATGCACATCAATTTGTTTTTTATTTGGTTGACCTTTGACTGACTGGCAGCCAAACACTATTAAAATCAAATTAACTATTTCTTAGGCATGCCTGGATTTATTTCATTGAAACTTTGTATTGACTTTAGTCATGGTAAGTTACTGATGCATGTCATCTTGTTTCCTGATTTGACTTAAAATGGTCTACTGGTGGTCATGTTGGTTCATTCTTTGCATGTGCCTAGTACTTTATGTGGGACATATGCAAATGCAGTGGTTTAGCGATGTGATTCAAAATGGCCGACTGGCAGCCATCTTGTTTTTTGAAAATGTTGTATTTTGGATATGCTTCGTCAGTTTTCATTCAAACTTCGTACATAGATTATACATGTTCGGATACATGTCCATGACGATTTATTTCACAATTGGATCAAAGATGGCCAACTGGCAGCCATCTTGTTTTTTGAAAATGTCGTATTTTGGACATGCTTTTTCATTTTTCATTCAAATTTATTACATAGATCATACATGTTATGTTACATGTCCTGACCATCCGTGAGTTCCTGAGTCTGTCCATCTGTCTGTGCGTCAGTCTGTCCAGAGTCATATTTCAGAATCCTGTGGACCGATTCCGTCCATTCTTTGCATGTGCCTAGTACCTTATGTGGGACATATGCACATGCAGTGGTTTAGCGATTCGATTCAAAATGGCCGACTGGCAGCTATCTTGCTTTTTGAAAATGTTGTATTTTGGACATGCTTTGTCAGTTGTCATTCAAACTTGGTACATAGATTATACATGTTAGGATACATGTCCATGACAATTTATTTCGCAATTGGATCAAAGATGGTCGACTGGCAGGCATCTTGTTTTTTTGTTTTTTATGCGGTATCTTGGACGTGCTCTGTCAGTTTTCATTCAAATTTCGCACATACATGTACTTTATACATGTTAGGATGCATGTCCATGACAATTTGTTTCAAAATCTGGTCAAGGATGGCCGATTGACAGCCATCTGAATTTTACTACTATATTTCCACAATTTATGTACCATTTTCATTCGTATTTGGCACATACATCATAAATATCAGTGTGTTTCATAATCAGATCAAAGATGGCCGAGTAATGCCTGTTTTTATTTTTGGCCATATTACTACTACAAGGAACTCGTGTTTTGATGTAAATAAACAATCTGTTGTATACGCCACTTGGAACTCAAGACAAATTTCAAGGACATGCTCGCATCAATCCCTCCGCTTTAATATGACGAGCACAAAGAACTTTCAAAAATTTAACAGGGACTGTGTCATTTTCAATGACTTGTGTCTTTAACGATTTCTCAGACATGCTTACAATTTCTCATACATACCAATTTTGTTCAAAGCAGGTACAAAGACAAATGATGTATTGTATTTGGTTCACAATGTCAAACTGGTATATGTGTGGATTATACAATATGAGAATGATCTGATTCTCATTATCCATACTACAAATGAATATTATTATGTTGCTATTTAGACTATACTATATCACCTACATAAATAAATACTACCGTAATATCTGTATTAGAAGCCTCATTCACCCATTCATTTTGAGACCCCAAAATTCACCATTTCTCATATGTACAGATGGCTCTACAAGAAGCCACATCCCCTCTGTTGCATTGTACCATTTTTATAGAAGCCGCGGCTTTTAATACAGATTTTACAGATAGTTTATAAATTGCATGATATCATAATAATATGTGCAATGAATGTTTTGAAAATCTAGATACAATAAAATGTTCACATTGGGAGCTATTTATGTGTATTAGCAAATAGATGTTTCCAAATGAAAAGTCATGAATGTGAGAAAAATCCCATGATCATAGAATTCTGCTAGATTTATGGAGTTCTGCGTTGTAAGATGGAGCTATTAAACCCATGTAGTCTGTCAAAACTGACAAACTTTATTTTCTGTTTTGTGCTGATGTGTCTATATCTTAGAAAGTTAAGTGACTGAGTGTTAATTGTAACCTATGCATGTTGGTTTACAGCTGAAATACCCATGAGTCATTGGTGCATTAAATTGCATTGTATGAAAACATGTGTTTGTGAGAGTTTTTTTTCATTCCAGAGTTTAAACTCTTTTACTAGTAGTTTTTTGTTTCCAACCAAATCAACATCATCAATGTTTTGCAGTTGGTAATAAGAGTGCTGCATTGTCCTTCATTAGCGTCAACTTTGTATAATATATTTCAGGAAGGTACCTTCTCGCCGAGTTTTGTTCATTTTGTCAAAGTAACCTCAATTCTCTTCTTTTTTTTTTCAAAAAATGCTATTTTAGATAACTTTTAGAAAATGAATTGATGTTTTTATGTAATTAAATAAAATACATTTTATACATCCATTTCAGGTAGACCTCTATCAGATGTTTTTATTTTGTAACGATAACTTTAATTTAAAGGGAATTTTTCACTGTTTATGACTACTGGGTGACAACTGTATGTTTTATCTGCCAAGAGCAAGTAATCAAACAGCAGTTAGTGAAGATTTACTGCTATACATTTAGGATATAATGCTATAACTTTGTTATGACTTTCACTCAGACATTCTAATAATCACATTGGTATATCCTAAATATTGACTAGTGTACATAGTTATTTTTTTCAGACTAATTTAGATTAACACTATCCAAAATTGGTACGAAAATACTCAACAAAATTGCATGGCTGGTTTTGATTAAGTGTATGCAATATCAC